GTGGACACTTGAGGGGCTGGATAGATAGCAAACTCCAATTTGGACTTTTTGCCATAATCCACGGACAAGCGTTCCATCAACAAAGAGGTGAAGCCTGAACCTGTGCCTCCTCCAAAACTATGGAAAATCAGGAATCCTTGTAAACCAGAGCAGGAATCTGTCTACAAAAAAGTATAATCCAAGGTGAGTTATGTGTATCTCAACAATTATTTTTATCTCACTCAGTATTCGCTACATCCCAAAACCATTTCCACAACTGAAAATCTAAATCAACTTGACATCTCATTTATTGCTATGGTTTTGATCCAATGATCCTGTGCTTACCCACATGCAGCAAAACAGATCTGATCTACATAATTATCTTGGTATACACGACAGTTGTTCATGGACCATAGTGGGGAATCTTAAAAGTGAATTCTCTACTATTTTTAATACTTAATACACAAATATTGTTATAATTTAAGGCTTAATAAGGATGTGTCCAGGGGACCTTTCCCATTTCCCCATTTAAAGCAAGTCTCTTAATTCTTGACAAAAGGTAGTTGAGAGGTGATATTTCAGTGGGAGATAGAATTATGGAAAACTGAAAGCCAGTGGTACTATGAGTTCCTCTTATTGATGGGCAATAAGGTTTTCAATAAAAACCTAGATTGTGGTAAGCAAACCTTTGTGAATGACCATTTGTTCATTACTAGCAATTTTTTTCTACATGGCACACTCTTAGCAACAGTTGCCTTTTTAAACCTTTCTGAAATAGATTACAGCCATTGTTAGCCACTACACCTTTAAACTTTAAAAACTGTGATATTTTCACTGCCACCTCATGCCAGGAAGAAGAGAGTATAAAATAACAGTTTAACAGTTCCTCCTCCTCCTCTTCCTTCTCCTGGCATGGACTGACAATAGCGTTAAGACAGCCAGCACAGATGGAAAAGAAGGAAACTGTCAGTCAGATTAAGGGAAATGCATACTCATGAAAACTTTCACCTCTGACCACACTGTCCATAATTACCAAAACCATCTTTTACTTAGATGCACAAACATTTATGAAAAGTTCTCATTTTGGCTCAGTTGTAGGATTTATAGGACTGGTCGGTGCTATCTTCTGAATGAAACATGTCTGCTAGAACAATTTCCCCAATGTGGGCACCTTCCTGATGTGTGAACTTCAGATTTCTCAGCAACAGCCACGTGGACTATTTACCCAGTTCATTCCATATACTAACTCAACTCATGACACACCCAACTGTTGACTGGAACTGCATTAGATTTCTGCTTCTAGCACTAGATTTACACTGGATTTCTAATGCTTTCTGTCTCAAAATCATTTCACTTCTAATTATCATGCATGTGCTTACCAGCTTGCGAATACGATCGAGTACCATATCAATACTCTCCTTTCCAATGGTGTAGTGACCACGGGCATAGTTATTAGCTGCATCCTCCTTGCCAGCAATCAGCTGCTCTGGGTGGAAAAGCTGGCGGTAGGTGCCAGCCCGCACTTCATCTGTTAACAAATGTCAATATATTGGGATAAATATTAGGCAACTTTCAAGAATCTTGATGTGTTTCTTCCTAACTAAGTCCTGACACCATCTTTGTTTGCTAAACAAGCTTTGCATGTTATTTTGGCTTTAGCTTCATTTAAGATGATTCCAGGCAGAGATTGTTAATGTCAAATATGGTCTTGCTCAGTTCTTAGAAACCAAGTAGGAACTATGACAATACTTGGAATGATCTTTGATAGTCCAAGCTACAGAATAGAGGATAGGATTATTAACACTGGTGGCACATTAAAGATTTATTGCTATATCAAAATAAACTCTCCATTCTTTCTTTTTTTTTCTTACAATACCTTTCTCTCTCTCTCTCTCTCATACACACACACACACACACACACACACACACGTACTGTGTAACCTGGATATTTAGAAATCCAGCATATCAAAAAGCTCTGCCAAGTAAAATCCTCTCCCAGATGGATTTAGTGAAATATTCACCTGGGGTGGCCAGCAAGATGCCCTTCTCTTCTTCTATTCACTCTTTCAAAATGAAGGGGAAAGAAATATTCTCATATTTCAAAAGCTAAGAAAAATATAACTGCCAGAAACAAAGTCATACAACCTGCAACTTCTAAATAAAAGCAGAGCTAGGAGCACTCCATAATTTTTTTTTTTTTAAAAAAAGATAACTGGTTTACAGCCTTGGTGTATAAACTGGTGTTCCAAAACCAGTCAGCCTCTGTTTATAGTAATGTTAGGGTTAGGGTATAATATTATATAGGGTATAATAAATAATTATGTTATGACTGAAGAGATAAAATGGAATCCTAATCCGTTAAATTAGGAACATGCAAACTGGTACACTCCCAACATCAACGAAAAAGCAATATAATTGAATTTTTACAAAACATTCATGTAATGAAAAATATATAATTAAAGTGAGTCAAAGTACATTTCTCTCCATGTGCTTAAGTACTTAATAATTTCCTTTCTCTCAGATTAAAAATTACAGGCACTATTTTTGGAGAGGGTATGTGCGGGACTGGGACTACAGATTACGTTCCTCTAATCTTTATAATTAAGCAGAGTTAAGTTGGTGCAGCTAATTTTAAAAACAAGAAAGGGCAGCAAACTCATTAGTATATTTTTTTCCTGTCAGGAAGGGAGGGAAACTGTACATGTAGGATTTTTTGCATCAGGTATCCAGATTACCTGACTGATCGGATATTATTGTTTGATTAATTGTTCAATGTGATTCATTCATTCATTCAATCAATCAATCATTCATTCCATTTGTCTTCTGCCATAATTCAGTCAAGACTCCGGTGGTTAAAACCATGGCATTTATCCTCCTCTACCCAGTTAAGGCAGGAAAATATCTTAGGTTAGCTCTGTAAAAATATCAGCAAGAGAGAAGTTCCCCCTGCCCAAATTAGGTTGCTGCAAAAGAGAGTAAAAGAGCAAATTTCAGTGCAAATAGACTTGTAAGATTGGTTTTAGCATTAATCATAAATTCTGTGCCTAAGCATATGCGCAGAAGAGCTCTGATTGTTAACATGTTGTTAGCACCTTGACTCCCTCAGCAGATCTCAGAGTTCAAGTACAGGAAGTTTCTGGTACAGAACTCTGCATAATAGGACCTGATGCAGACAAGGGAGATGTCTTTGCACCCTTATGGAAGGCTGAAGAAATTCTGGCAAATGGATTTTTTTTTTCACCCTTGAACAGCAAGCTGCACATGCCAACAGAATTTCCCCCTCCATAACTGGTAAAAGACTAGAATGGGTTAGTCTGAATACCTGATCTCTCCACTGCATCCCCAGCATTGGCAATTGCTCAATAACCCCATTCTATTTGCCATCACTCATGATTTCACTGACCTACTACTGTGGGTTCTAAGTCCACCATAACAGCTCGTGGCACATGCTTCCCTGTGCGTGTTTCACTGAAGAACGTGGTAAAAGAGTCATCATCATTAAACTTGTTGGGTTCAGTCTGGAAAGTGCCATCTGGCTGGATGCCATGTTCCAGACAGAAGAGCTCCCAGCATGCATTACCAATTTGAACTCCAGCTTGTCCAACATGAACAGAGATGCATTCACGCTGTGAGGGAAAAAATAAAGAGAAGATCAGAGGAATAGGACACATACAATACCCATTTATCTCCCTACCCACTCTTCCAGAGAAAATTATCATTGGAATTTTAGGGATAAAGAACTTCCTATTTTCAAATAATTGTTTCTTCTCTGCTTAAAGACTTTTCAGAATAGAAAGGTATCATTTTCTGATTTGGTACTGTTATGATCCAACCTGGAGCCCTTCAGATAAGTTGGATGAACATCCCATCATTTTCACCTCATAACCAGCAGCTGAGTTGACTGTGCATGACCGAAACCATGTCCGTCACACTTGCAGGATACCGTGTTAGAGAACACTAATCTAGACAGTGATCTAAAATTTCCAAATGTCAATATTTGTGTAACCAAACTGATTAGGCAGTCAGAAGACAAAGATTCTAGCAGACTTGGGTAAACCCCTGTTTTGAAGAAGTACGAACAACATTGGCAAGAATAATCCATAAGAAGAGTAACCACCACTCACAAAACCCAATGAGGAACAAGATTGATTTTTGTCCATAAAATGCTATCAATCTGTTGGAGGAAACCAGCAGTGAAGGGGAAAATAGAATATTGCTACACTCGTCCAACATTTTTATTACAGTGATGATTCTATAAATAGGTATATTATGGATGCTATTTCAATAATAGAGCCAGTTTGGTGTAGTGATTATGGAACTGGGCTAGAAACTGGGAGACTGTGAGTTCTTGTCTCACCTTAGGCACAAAGCCAGCTCGGGGGCCTTGGCCAGTCACACCCTCTCAGCCCTAGGAAGAAGGCAATGGCAAGCAACTTCCAAAATCTTGTCGAGAAAACTGCAGGGACCTTTCCAGGCAGTCACCAGGAGTCAAGAGTGACTTGAAGGCACGAAAGAAATTTCAGTAATAAAGAACAACATCTATATTCATTTTTATTGGACATATGCTGAAAAATACAGAACTGGGCCACAGCCAGCATACAAAAGTTTTGCAGCAAAGCTAATGTAATAATAATGAAAAAGTGTGGGTTTTTCAGGATTTGTTAAGCATTCTCAGGTTGCATCCTGAAACAAAAAGCAGCCTTAATATCATATAGATTGTAATAAATCTCAGTCCCATAGGCTTAACGGGTTTATTTTTATTTCTGCCTGGATCTTGACTCAGCTAAATGGTATTTCTGCATGGACTGTAACTTAAGAAGGTTGTAGTGCCTTCTGATTCTTCAACCCATGTGATTGGTAGAAGGGTTGGCAAGGCTTCCCCCGCCCCCCCCGCAAAAACCTGTTGTTCTTTCTATCTCACACATTTGACTTGAAAAATTAATACTCGCCATAGTTATCAGACATTTACTGGCTATAAAGATCAGGTTAAAAAATGCTAAATGAAGATGGTTCCATTAAAAAGAAATTAATTTTCTCTTTTTTCTTGCAAAACCAGTTTAGCAAATTGGAGCTATCCAAGTTGGATGGGAGGATGGCTAGAAAGCCTGAAAATAGATTGTCTCTCAACTCTCTAAGTTACCTAACAAGGAACAAATTAGTTAATTTGTATTGTTATTTCAAGTTCAAGGGTACATCATCAAGGGGGAGTCACATACAGTCTACTTGATGGTTGGTGAGTGCTAACCCTTTTATTGGAAAAGTAAGCATATTGCTGTATACTGTGATTTTTAAATTATGTGTTGAGTTATGTAGTGGTGCAAATCATACATTATGCTAAGCCAAAATCATATTCTCGTGTTATCTAACTTATTTGTGGCATCCTACCACACCTTGAAGTTATGGTGGTGGATTTTTGAGTAGCTATTTTGGGTATTTAAGGGGTTCAGAGGGTGGGAATTGTAGTGGCTTGCTCCCATCCCCAAATATAAATACCCCCACAAAAGCTAAAAGAGGACAAAAAAGCCATGGGCAAGTCTCTTCCAGTGACGGCACCACAATGACCTCTGACAGCTTTCCAGAAGGTAGAAAGACTGACTTGAAATGTATGATTCCTTAGAAGTTGCCCTACTTTGGCTTAGTGGGATAGGTGATCCCAGGCAGCGTATTGGAAGACTTGGCCAGAAATAAAAGTTGATGCTCCCATTGAATCTCCTTTTAAGGCAGCCTTCCACATTCTGTTGCCTTCCCATGTGTTCTATTATAACTTTCTGAGGAGGAAGAGTTCTGAGTTGGTAGCGGTAGTCTAAAACACCTGGAGGGCATCAGGTTGGGGACAACAATCAAACTTGTCCACAGAATTGGATGGGATGGTATTAATCAGATTCTCTAAAAAAAAAATGCCCCTCACATGAAAGGTAAAACAATTACTGAGTACTTCATATGTGGTCTGTTTGTGCAAGAGAGATACAAAGATCGTAACTCAAAGTTCCACTCCTTCCCAACAGTTTTTTACTCAAAGCAAGAGGTTATAACAGACCCTGCAGGTCAGAAGATATTTGTGGTCATAAACAGTAGAATGGGTAGCCATCAAATTCCAGCACATCTGTGATGAAGGGAGGGATGAATAGTTTGTAAAAGTATCAACATAACTTTGTCGAAGGCTTTCACGGCCGGAATACGGCCCGGAAGACCCACACCAGCTATCAACGTAGCTCTTTGCTTTCATACCAAAAGCAATCTTTTCCAAATGATGGAGGCAGAGGCCTTCAATTATATAGTCAACTGATTTTTGCTTCCATGTTAAGAAGTTATAGCCAGTGGAAGTATCTTGGCTGAAACAAGATACTTTTCACTCTAGCCTTTGTCAGCAGGCTAGATGCAACTATTTCCTGTTTTAGGGCAGCTAAGATAAACAAATTTGATTATATGATTCTATAGTGATTGGTTGACATAAGAAAGGTGTGTATAGGACATTAGCTATGTTGTATGGGAAATGTCACCATACAGAGCAATATTCCCACCAAATACCCTCCAGATGTGCTACATTTCAACTCCCAGGATTCCCAACAGTATGGCCAAAGATCATAGTGGCTAGGAAGTATGGTTGCTGAAGTCCAGCACATATGGAGGACATCGTGTTGAAGAAGCCTGGGGTAAAGAATATAAATCCATCCTTTTCTCTTAGGTGTTCTAAGAAATCTGATACTGAATCACACTGTCATTATCTACCTGTGACAATGGTCTCCAAGATTTCAAAGAGCTACCTTTTCCAGCACGGTCTGAAGATAGCTAACTTGGGGTATTTGTGCTGGATCCATAAACAACAAACTACAGCATTACAAAACTGCTAGTTTTCCTTATGGCTAAAATACATACTGCATATATTTGAATTATTATTTGTATTTGTTAATTTGGAAGTAGCAGAATCAGCAAGTGGAGGAAAGTTTGTAACTATTAACCAAACATATAAAAACAACATTAAGGATTAAGACCAGCATCAGAGAATAAGATATACGATGTGGTCCATCCAAATCTCTCTATGAGAAAGACTGAAGAGCACAGCAATTGTGCGTTGTTAACTGGGGTTTAATATTTATTATGCCCTGTGAATGCAGCCATTGTGGTCACTCTGCTGGACCACCAAATGTTGGTAGGACAGCGCAGTGTCCTGCCCATTTCAGGCGAGAAATATAGGAAAACTCTAAAGTAGTTTAAAAAAAGAAAAGAAATTCCACTGCAGTCATGCCCACATCTATATGATGTGACATAGCCTTGCCTTCTGCCTTCCTTAGTTCCATCCTCAAGATGCTAAGTGTGGCCTTGATCACCCTAAAATTGCCCACCCTTGTCTGCAAAGACATCACGGCATTTGCAAGGGGTCCAAAATGGCTTTTCCCCAGATGCCAGAGTTTACATCTATGCTCCATCGGTTGCCTCTGTTCAGCAATTGAGCCACAGGATTTTCTTGCTGCAGTTTTGTTGACTTCTCAAAGCCAGTGGTCACCAGTGGCTCTTTTAAAGTACAAATGGAAATTGTTTTCCAGTGTGATTATTGTGGCTTTTTCCAAAGAACCCTGGAAACTTGACATTCTAATCTCTTTCCTCTTGTTTTCTATCTTAGGCCCCTCGGCTGCAAGCCAGGACTGGTGTGATGTTGGTTGAAATGTGTAGGTTAGATTTTCTTGGTTCTTCTGGGTGAATGGGGTGAAATGATATAGACAATATAGTTCAGTAACTAAAATCTCAGCCTTTCACTAAAAACTCCACCAGTCTTGGACTATAGTCCTTCTCAGATCAAATGGTAAAACAGGAATAATACTAAATGCTTCTTAAAATTAAATTCCCCTTCCAGGTATGGGAGTGTGATAAATCTCAGTACCCAGACATCTGGGCAGGTTATAAATTTTGAGTTTCTCAGTCATCCTCAGGATAAAAATGTCATTACTCTTGTTGCAATCCACCCTAAAGATATTTTTACTCAGGCTTTCTGCTGACTTCTGCTACCTCCTGTTTACTCCCAGGTAAGCATGCTTAGGACTGCACTTGTTAGCCACTTCAGTTTACTATAGGGTCTATGCCAGAAACCCTACAATCTATCCAAGAGGTAATCCCTAACTTGCTATGGGGATAAACTTTAGAACTTTTTGGAGCAAGTGGGTGTGAATTTCTCACTTCGTTCTTGTTTCCCCTCCATTTGTTTTGCTTACCATAATGCTCTGATTCTGGTTTCCCTTCTTGATCAGGAGCTAGAAGACTTTGTTTCTGTTTTCTCTGTCTCTCCCCTCCTCCTTCTGTCTCCCTTTGAGCTGTAATGAAGGAGGAGACCAGCACCAAACACCTGTTGTTGCCTTTCAGTGTCATAGAGCAGGGGAGGGAAGAGGTCATAATTCCCAACATACACCCTCCTTGGACCACTTACATCACCAGCCTCTGATAGTCATAGATACAGCAACTTCATTAAGCACAAAGGGGTGCACATCTTAAAAATCCTAAATTATCCATTGATAGGGTCTAATCTGCCTAGCCACAAAAAATAGTAGTTAGGTAAATTAAGATCTCAACTTGCATGCAACAGCTATGAAAAGGCAAATTCCATGCTGGGTTATTACAGAAAGGACAGAAAATAGAAACATCAATATTGTAATGCTTTTATGGAAATCTATGGTACACC